AAAAAAAAAAAAAAAAAGGAAAAAAGCCAAGGAAGTTTCATAGATAATTGCTACTACTATTCAACATTCTTGTGGAGCAAAATAAGTTTGTTCCCAATTTTATGAAAACAGTTCCAAGCTTCCCTTTCTTCCTTATCTAAACAATTTCTAGAAATCAAATGGAATTTTCTTCATTTCAGTGCAAAGCTAGAGAAAATCGAACAAATGACACGGAAAGACAGTTTTCTAGGAAAGAGTTGCCAAGTTATGCTCAACCTAGACCACTCATATATTATAATAGGAAATTGGACAAAGAAGACAAGTAACTTCATGTAGAATGGTATGCCACTAAATGATTAGATGAAGGGCCAAATATGTTTACCAAGAGGGAAGCAAATCGCAGCACCCATAACTGAACCCAGCATCATATTCCTTACACGCCAACGAAGTGAACCTGGCACTAAAAAAACAGAGCATACAAAAGGTAATTTCAATCCGAAAGAAGAGAATTTTAAAATGTGTGGTGAGTCTGGTGACAAGAATTTGTTCTCTTACAAATTAAACCAAATGTTGCAGCAGTTGCAGAACCAGCTCCAACTACGTTATAAACGTCATGGAAGCCTCGCTTTTCAGCAAGCAAGTTCTGTAACCCACAAAAGGCAGCCGTAAACATTCCAAGACGCACACCACCAACTATTGAACCACGGGTCACCCGAATAAATCTTTTCTCCATTGCATCTCTCATTAGTCGATACTGTTCGCGCTTATCGGGCGTGCTCCCAAGCTTCAACATTACTTCTGCATCTTTGCTCTGAGAAATGAAGATCTAAATTCTTCTCTTAAAATATCAAATATCAATGATATTAATGTATACAAATATAATAATAAGCACATAAATGTGCCTCTCACAAGTAATTTTTTCACTTAATGAAGCGTAAAAGCACAATCACTATGGTGCAGGAGTCAGTCGAGATAGTTTTATCCAAGTTTGAAACTTTTACCTTGAAAATCACATGTATAGCTTTAACATGTGAAGCATTACTTCTTTTGAGCTGGTGAAAAAAAGAACCTAGAAGCACCCAAGGTGACTTTATGTTTTTGGTGATATTCTTGAAATAGCAGAAAGACGTTCTGTTACATTATGGCTCTCATTACATTCTAAATCCCGATAGCAGCCTCATTTTTATGTGAGGATGATCGTGAAATGTGATAGATTTCCTGTGTAATAGCCTATTACCATCGACATTCTCAGTAATCAAGCTCCTATTGTGATGGTTATCTTCCCCTTTTTCTAATAATATATATTAGTGGACTATGAAAATTCCTTTTTTTTTTTTTTTTTTTTTTTTAAAC